AACTTCCGGAAAAAATAATATTTATTATATCAAATATAAATAAATATAAATACTTCGAATAATACATAAATCAAATAAATGTTTGCGTACTTTTTTTTAAATTTAACTTTGCTAATATTTTGTGCATGTGCGCGTGCATTATATTTAAATGAATTTCTTTAAAACGCACACACACATTTATTTCGAAATTGCGCGCACAAAATTTGAAGTACATTTATTAACGACAGTATTATATAATAGAAAAGAAAATTGATTACGCGTATGTATCTACTTACACGTATTGTATTATTTACTATACATCATAGATAACTTACTAGTAACATATGCGTTTATTAATTCCTTCATACCTATATCATCAAATGATAATAATTTCAAGATTAACGGATGATTAAACTAAAATAAAAACGTTATCATGCGCTTTACCACTATCTCATTAATTGAATTATTCCCTTTCAAGTATTATCTGATTCTGTACATTTAATCAATTTGAGATTAGTACGTCACCATGATAAAAATCAATTACAAATTCTAATGAATTAAAAACTAAAATTAACATTTAATACAATTTATAATAAAATTTCTTTCGATTCTTTTTAAAATTCATTAAATAATGTGTCCCAAGAGAGAGAGAAAGAGAGAAAGAGAGAGAGAGAGAGAGAGAGTTCTATAATATAATTATACTAATGTGTTATACCGAAAAAAATGTACAAAGATCATAAATAAAAAGAAGGGTCATTGGCCTGTATATTATACTTATCTGAAAAAATCAGATGCTGTAATACATAAGACAGGTTTTAGGGATTTTTTCAGAAGGAAAAGACGATAAGATTAAAGGAAAACGTAAGTTAAATATGTTCCGGTAAACATGCTTTGATTTATCGTCGTAGCTTCCTTCGTATACTGCAAGCACGCCGACTCTATACAGTCAAATTAAGTGATAAGACTGATACTTAAGTCTCATTGTTCATTGTAAAAAAAGACAAGGTACTATCCAACATTTCTTGCACATCTCTATTTGTATTAATAATATTAATACAAATAATGTTATCATACACACCATCATCATAATCGCCAATATTATCGTATTTATTATTATTATTATTATAACTATTACTGTGACAAATTTACATACTTAAAATGTTCACATTTATCTATATAACGAACATTTCATTGAAAATTATATTTAAAATAAACAAAAAATATATCTATCATAGTATTTTGATTTAACATTATTGTGTATTTATTATCAGGCAATTATATACAAAAGACAATACAGAACGAAGCAAGTACATGGAATTTACCTCCATTTTCTTCCTCTCTGTAACAATTACCATGTACAGGATATATCTGACAATTATTGCTAATTAATAGAAGCGATAGTCGACTGTTTATAGTATTTATAATACAGACAGTAATAGTTCTAGGCTTGACTTTAAAGTTTAACTTTGCCTACGTTTGTGTTTGTATGTATGTGTGTCTTAATAATTGTATATGTGATCGGGGCAACCGATCACAAATCGTTTCGATTAAGTACATTAAACAGTCAGCATTATTTACTTTTACACTTTTACAGACATTTTCGAGGACTGAAGAAAATGATTATTATATATATATATATATGATCGGATATATATATATATAAGATCAAATTACATTGAAAATAATGTAATCATTCGAATACATTTCTGATGGTTGTTCTACTTATGAAAGACATGTAGAACTTTATCGATTAAAGTATATTTTTAACTTAAAAATAATGACTCATATTAATAGTTTCGTTTATATCGTTCATTTAACGTTTTTCGCGTGCATTAATCCTAAACACTTTGTCATCCATTTGTAGATGTCAATATTTAATAGTAATATATAGTAATTAGAGATTTATCTGCGAATTATTTTAGTTTTTTCCTTATTTATTATACCTGGGCGTACGTTATGCTTATGAAAACAATGCTGCGACAAAAACAATCTTTTTTTGTTCTTTTATACTTTTCCTATAACATTTTCACCTACTTTTTTTCTTTCTAATGTCCGTTTTTTTTTAGATTAATACAGTTTAATTAATTAACAAATATGACGCACAAGCATTTTATCTTTATACGAGTATCAATAATTTACGTTACATTGCATTGACGATAATCATATATTATAATAATAATAATAATAATAATATTAATAATAATAATATTAATAATAATAATAATAATAATAATAACGTAACAATTTTCTTAGATCATAGAATATCTCTCATATGTATTGTAGTCGTGCATTGTAACCGTAATAATAGTAAAAAATTGCTGCTTATTCTTCTTCAGCATATAAATCTGCGTATTGTGATGTACATTTAAATATATAAATAAATTTGGAATAAATCTTAAACAAGAAAAATAATTGTGCATTCTCGGCTTAAAATGCGACACATATTCGCGACTAGAAAAATTAGAGCCAAAAATGTTTCACATCGTATATCCGTAGTCACCTCGAATGTGTTCTTTTTTTTTACTTGTCGTGACAAAAAACACAGTTATAAAAATGAAATAATATTTGTCACATCTTACAATCATTCGTTAAAAATATAAAAATTAATTTAAATTACATCAAATTCATATATTATAAAGTACAGCTTTTATTATTTTTTTCTCAAAGTCATTTCCACGATGTACGACAATTAAAGTTACTTTTTTGTTACTGTACAAATTGCAAAATTTGTGTTAAATATTTAATTTCAAATGTATGCAAACATTTATTCGCACAGCCTCTTTCATTATGTTCTACGTACGCACACATATTTCAAATTCTTAATTAAACGGAGCACAAAAATTCAATTTCAAAACTGGTGCTTAATTGCACCCTTTACAATTCTCTTTGGTAATTATCATCAAGAGACTTTGGTTGTGCTAACCGCTATTTCATTCATGACTACAAAAGACATATTGAAATATACTTTTTATATTTATATATACTATTAGACCCAGAGAGAAATATACATAACCAGAATAATTTTATGCTAAACAACGAAGAAAAAATGGTGTTGTGTATTTAACTCCTTTCCTATTACTTGTTATTCCAAAACATATATATAGAAAAAATATTCTATGTTTAAAAATTTTTCATTTTCCTTCTCTCTCACTCTATCTCTTTTTCTTTTTGTCTGTCTGTCTGTCTTTCTTTCTTTCTTTTTCCTCTTTTTTCCTTTTGTACTTTTCATATCATAATAATTAACTCCTTATACTATGCGAGAACAGTGTAACATGTTTATCTCGCTATTTATACCACGCACCTAATTCGTGGTAATAGCAGAAGGGGTTAATTACAAGAAATATCATTTGAAAAATTGTCAAAAGTAATATTACAGAAATTCTCTCTCTAACAGTCATCTTCTTGACTCGGATGCGTACGCAGTTATAGTACTATCAACACATCCCGCTGCTAAAATCACACGATAGGGATGAAAACTAAGACAACTTACAGGACTAATTCGTGTACCCATAAAACCTTCGTGAAACTTAATCGTATTGAGGTGTTGTCCAAGCGTAGTATAAACACTGATGCAGTGATTCGTTGAGCCACTGAAAAATAATTCAATATATACAAGAGGACTTATTGGAAATAAAGAAATATTAAAAAAAAGAAAAAAAAAATTACGTATAGTTTACTTACCAAGCAAAAACATTAGCATTTTCATGAACAGTTAATGCTGTAATGCCTTGTGTTATCTGTACAGAACTTATAGAAGAATTTTTTCTTATGTCAAAAATTCTAATATCTCCAGAAGAAGAGCCAGTAAATAATTGTGATATAAAACCATCTGACTTTCTCAAATGTGTTCCCAATACCCACGCAGTATGTTCTCTCCACGTCATTACTCTTGCTTCTAGTGGAGCCAATCTTCTATCAAAGAGTCGAACTGATCCATCGCCACAGCCTAATACCATTAAAGATCCTACAATTGAAAACATTTTATTTTCAATCAAAATTATTCGATATTATATCATCTCTTTGAACATTATTTACTGACCAATCTAATACTATATAAAAACATTTTTATTTATATAAGAATACCCCTAGAAAATTACAAACCTGTATTATCGACATCGACAGACGTAATACAGCAATCAGCACCCGTTGGTATATCTTGCTTTTTCAACTCTGTTTCTGCGTCCCACAATCTGACGATACGAACATCACCAGTCACGGCTAAAGTTAGAGACTTTTGTTCCCACTTAGTAATCAATCCTGCTGTTGCTAAATAGAAATATTTTGAATATTACTTCAAAATATATATTACACTTGTAATATATACAATTATCTATTATTTACCAGAAGAAGTCCTTGCTAATGGCTGAATATCTGACAATGCTTGCCATGCGGTAAGCAATACAGGATCACGACCTAATGTGCTGCTATAATTCTTCCACACTCTGATTGAACCATCATCAGAACCAGCCATTAATAACGTAACATCATGAGCATTGATAAACTCCAAAGTCGTAATTCTTGACATTCTACTACCACGACTGGCGTAATATGTTAATTTTGCACCATTTTGACAGTCCCATACTCTGTACAAATATATTATATATATATAACTATACTATATTAAAGATTATTATAATAATTAAGTTGTAATTCATTTCCTTTCGACAAACAGTATATATTTATAAATAATTCTATGACTGTTAATATTTTTTAATTTGTTACTTAACAGTAAATCATAAAGTATTTTGAAAAATGTTCACATCTTTGATTTGGAGAGATTTTACAATGACTTATATATCTTTAAATCGTGTGTAATTCTATACACCACATATTTCTGTTTGATAGAAATACCAGTGAACTGGTCTCGACTAAACTGAACTATTAATATTACCCAAAGTAATCCTTCAATGCTACAGCCAAATGTGATTCAAACGGATGGAACGTAAGAACGTCTGGTGACTGAGAACATCTCGCATGGAATACTTGAGATTCTATTCTATTTTGCATTGCTCTTAACTGTTCTTCTTTTGCATCGCGTCTCTGTCGTTTGTTCCGTAAATATCTGAAGAAGTCATTCCATAAATTCACACTATTCAAATAAATATAGTTATAAATACTATTTTATTTTTAATAACACAAATTACCTCCATTCGCGTTCATAATGTGCTCTACTTTCCATATCGTTTACGGATTCAATTTCATTTTTTAGAGTAACAGGTTGCGCGAATTGTGCACAACTCCATTCAACAAATTGCGAAGTAGTCAAAGGTGTTTTAATATCAAATATTTCATCTGCTTCTTCTGATATCTTGCAATAGAAAATTTATAAATATAATAGATTCATTTCTATATTCTATTTTGTATAAAAAAATAAAAAGCTAATTTATATTTACTGTAATGGGCACTGGTTTCCTTGGACGATTACCGTGCGAAGACATTCGTGCAGAACGCATTAAATCTGTTCCAGAATTAACTATTGGCGGTGATTCTCCCTTGCTATTACTAAAAACAATACAAACATTTTCAAATAAAAACTTAAATATAAAAATATATTCACTAACCTTAGATAACTAGTTTGATTTGACGGAGATGGTGGAAGGGACAATGACGAGGATATTTTAGTCTCTACTACTTCTTTAGGCACAGACGACTCCTTAATCTGAAATTTTCAATTAAAAATTTCATTTTAATTTACTGATATATCAATAAAAGATATTACTTTTTATCGTGTTAGTATAAATTACCTGTCTGCGAATATGATTGGTTACTTTTTGAGACATTGAAGCGACCGCAGGGTGAGGATCATTGTCAAGATTACCAAGTCCATGCCATAATTTCATGTATACGCTACCATAAGATAAGCTTGGTAAATTTCCCAAAGAACTATGGCCTATGATAATAAAAAAAGCACTAAATTAATGAAAATTATAAAATATGATTACTATAAAAATAGCATATATATATTATAATATATATCATCATAATATATATTATATATTATAATATATATTATGATAATATACAAATATCAAAATATATTGTCACCAAATAAAATAATTAAAATTCAAAATATAAATAAAATCTATTATATACATAAATAATAGAAAAAATGTTTAATCAAAAACATACAATTGAATTCCTAATTATTATTACCAAGTGACTCGCAAGGTTTCCTCACGAACTCCCAATTATTTCCTGGTATATGAATGAAACAATATAAGTAACTATTACAGTGAGATCAATTGATTATATAAAATGATCGCAGAACGTAAAATTTTTACCTAAACTACTAATAGATGATGAAGAAGAAACTCTTTTTATACGGTCTTGGCCAAGCCCATCGGATGTGTCTACAGTGTACATATTATTAGGAGATAGCATCTTCAAACGATCTCTTGAACTAATACGCCTCATTCCGCTGAACGGCGATAATGTTTCTACAATTAAATCTTTTCGACTATTTTCTTCAGCCAAAGCTAGCGTCACAAATGAATTCTCAAAATGTAGAACCATCCACTGAAGCGCTACTACCAATTCCTATACATTCATTCAATTTTATGATAATTTTTTTCTTATTTAATTACTACAAATAATTATGGGTAATAATTATAAAAAGAAAACATACGTACTTTTCTTACTAAAGGACACATGTCATGAGAAATAGTATTAATAAGTGTCATAGCAATGATTTGATCAATATTGTTTGCATGTTCACTTCGAGTTGTAACGCTGTTTATAAAAGTTCCCAGTGCATAAACACTAGCAGCCCGTACCTACGTAATTAAATAATCATAATATTCATTGTTTTTTATAATATATATTAAAAAAATAAATAGACTTTATACCTCAGGAACAGGATCGTGTAGCAATATGAAAAGTTTTTCATGAGCGATGTCTCTTACTCCACACCATCTTGCTTTATCATAGTTATGCCAAAGTCTTCCTAGACATAAGCAAAGCCATTGGCGTAACAAAGGATGAGAATCGCCTAATTGTTCAAGACAAATTGATACAAGACTTCCATGATTGGCAGCAATTTGTCCAGGTCGATAATCATTTACAATACAGGCCAACACGAATGCTGCTAATGTTCTGTGCTCCCGCTAAAATATAATTACTTATTAAAGATATCCATGTAACAATAGAATTGATAATAAATTCATTAAAATTTATTTTTTACAGAGATGTGTTACTATAAAAATTATATTAAAATTTTATACCAAAATTGTAGTATCTTGCAGAACGGATAGAAAATATTTATGACCATCATCTCGTACTAAATCAGCCTGACAAGTCTACAATTCAAATAACGGCTATGCATTAACACAAAGAATTAAAACAAAGAAAGTAAGAATGATCAAATAATTTAAAATATAACTTACATTATCCACTGCAAGAATTTTAGCCCAGATAAACACGAGCAAAGGTCGGAGCTCTTTCGCATTGCTTTGAAGTAATTTTAAAACATACGGAAATATTCCAACGCTCAACGCTAAATTCACAGCCCACGGGCCAAGATCAAGGAAACGTCCCAGCAATTCCAATGCTCTAAGTCTGTGTACTTGACTCAAAAGCACCTGTAAAACAATTGGAAGTTGTTCTGGAGGATTGCGATTTTTCGAACCCAATGTAAGCCAAACTTGAAAAGCTGTTAATTGTTCTTCGAAGAAAGGAGAATGTACAAATTGTTCTTCGTTTTCTAAAATCTGTGGTAATTGTGCTAAACATAAATCAAGTGCCAAATCCCAGGCTTGCCACATTGGATGCTGAAATTATAAATAAAATAGAAACGATAATATTCATGTATACCAAACTTAATTAAAGAGTTTTTAAGTTAATTAAAATGTTGAATTTTACCTGATATGTCGGTGGTAACTTTGGACAAGATACAGGAGTACAATCATACGAGCGAAGTATTCTTTCAGCAAGTAAAAAGTTTCTAAACAAACTAGCAACTAACAAATCTTGTCTAAATAACCTTTGGAATAAATCTGCAAAAGAGATAAATATATTTAATTAAGAACTCATTATTATTATCATTAATTTGAAAGTAATACAAGTGTATAAATATTTAATGTACCTCTAGGTAATGTGTTCCATGCTATGGTATCTGTAATTGCAGTAAATATCCAATTTAATTCCCCTAACATTGTTCTTCTATCGGTCAATTGACCTGGAATTCTGTAAAATATACAAATATATATTTTATTGGATTGACCAATAAGTAATATCAAAATTGAATTAAAATAAATGGTCATCTTACTTGTCAATTAAATCCAGTGATATCTTTGGGATTAATTTCGTAGTATTTTGCATAACAAACCTGCATAAAAATTACATTAATAAATAAAATGAAAAAATATTAGATACAATCATAAAAAAATATTAACAAATTTATTTTCTTACCAGCGTAAAGCAATTTTGATCGGTGTAGTAAGGCAAGACGTAAACACGTCTGCTGGCAGATCTGGATTCATAGATAAAATCTGATTAGCTGCACATGCTGCCAATTGAATACAATTTTTATAAGACGGGATAGTAGAATTAGCAATTCCGGTAGCACAATTTTGTTGCACTGCTTGCTTTTCCATCTGAAAGATATAAATTAATATCATATAAGTAAATGTATAATATTTATAAAGCAAATGTGAATTTAACAAGACGTTATTACTTCGTATTCTTTTTCATGTTGTTCAGCGAATTGTTGGAAAGATTCGACGATAATTCCAGCATTAGAACAATCATATACGTAGATGCTTGGTGCTCCCATCCATGTTTGTAAGTCATACACTGACAATGGAATGTATTGTGTGTAAGTCTGTAAAAAGAAGATGGAAAATCCGTTTTTCAAAAAGATATGTAATAAAATAATTGAAAAAGCATTTGTTCACCAACCCTATTAAAAACCCATATTTCACCATTACTAGTAGGTTTAGGTACACCATGTCCATTGTAATGAAAAAGAACCCTTTCTTCTTTAGCATTTCTTCGTAAAGAGGTACATAGTTTTTTAACTTCTTCTACAGTAGGATCTAAGCTTTGTTTATAACGTGCTCTAGGCTGCCATCTTTCATATTGTTTCTGTAAATTAGAACCTATCATTTCAAGAGCTTTCTGTGGGCTCACAGATGATGGATCTGTAATGCAAAAATTATAAATGTAACTATTTATATGTCAATTTCAAATCTTATGTTATAATTAAAACATTGACTTTATACTGTGTAACAATAATGAAAAAGACAGATGGTAAGTAAGTAAAATACTTATTGGATTACTTACCAATCCAACATTCTAAACGAGCACATGGTTGTGTTTTAACAATATCAGGTGGGTCCACGCCAACATTTAAACAGAGCACTAATGCCACGCTAACTGTTTTCATCTGAAAGATAAATAAACATTACAGTAATCTTATCTTAGTAAAAAGTTCAAAGTACTCATAAGAACCTCAAGGTAATTCAAATTTTAAAAAAAGATAATAAAAAAAAAGAACCAACCCGTTCTTTCATACGCCAAGTTTGGGTGACACAATTGATCCCCTCGATTGTTGTTGTATGTCGAGGTTTTTGAAAAGCAACAGGCATTTTCCAATCGTCCTCGGTCAAATTTGAATTGTCTTCCTCGTGGCATGGCTTTGCGTCGATAACTGACATCATCCGCTTATATTTTACGGAAAGCCACTAAAGGTTTCCACCAAAAACACCTCCCGATCACATCAAATTTCAATGTAATTTAACGCGCACTATACTTTGTTAACTTTAAAATGATGAATCACAAAACACACGAATCGCTAATGTATTGAATTAATTCTGAAATTCGTAAGTTTACCTGAACAGTCGCCATGATAAAATTCCATGCGACTCATACCCCATCAGGTTGGCCAATAATAATATTCTTCCTGAATTTCTCTACAAATTAGGTTAGTTTTTTAATTGCATTTATTGGAAACATTATAACAAATTTATTCAAATATACCAATTAGGTTTTTGAATGTATGTATTTGTAATTGTAATTAAAAAAAATTGTTAGCGAGTCAATAAGAATATTTTAGATTAATGCGTATCACGTGACAATAATTAGGTACCATTTTCACGTGACAATATAATGCTAGTGAGGTAGAAGTGAAAGCCAGTAATATTCATTTAACTGCAAACAATAAACCAATGATATCAATTAAAAAAAAAGTGGTCAGCCGATGATATCAGTTGCAAAAAATAGCCAACCAATGATGATAGTTTCTTTGGTTGCTATGGTTATTTTAAATAATGGAGTTTTTAAGAAGTCTTTCTCATACGGAGGGGATGATAATACTAATGGAAAGGGATACTTGATCACATGTAGAATTTCTCCCATACAGTTTCTTAAAGACAACGGGGAACTGCATCTTTATTCTGAACGTTAACTCTTTTATAACATTTTATTCAAAGTTCGTAGACCCTATTCCAATTTATATATGCTATATATATAAACTAACGTTATTTCTATTAACCAATGAAATATCTAATAATTAATATATCCAGATATTTGTAGTTTTGTATATATTGCATATACTTAGTGTAGTTGCACAATGACATATGTTTAACATTTTAAATTAGAAAGAGTTAATTAATTTATTTTTTTAATAGTTTAAATGAACAAATTTTCGTATTAATTACATTACAAATAAATTTTTTCATTTAACTTTAAGTACATTTAAATTAAAAAAAAACATTGTATAAGAGAGCGCCACGTGTGAATTATTGAAAACACGTCAGCATTCTCTCTTAAGATATATAAAAATAATATTATTTAAATACAACTGGTTCCAACTAATTGTCTTTCTTCTTTTTTTAAATCAATCAGAATATTATAACGATCACCATGTATTGAAAAGATACTGGATTTATTAAAAAACCATGGAAATTATTTTAACCTTACTTTACATTATTAAAGAGGAATAACAGGTAACTGAATTTTAATAATAATATATCTTTAAATATTAAACACAATGAGGTATATATATATGTATGTGTATGTGTGTATATGTGTGTATGCTCAATATGCAATATGTTATTTGGTTTAAGATATTATAATATTTAAAAATTATCAATCATAATAAAAAAACAAATGATAAGGTTATATTAATGACAAATAAAAGATAATATAAAATTGATTTGGTTGTTAAATAGATTAATTATTTTATGATTAATTAATAATATATTAAAAACGATTTCTTTGATTATCAAAAAAATATATAATTATACTTTTGAAGAAGTATTTAATGTAATATCAATAAAATTTGTTTATTCAATTTACAGTGTAATGTAAAACATGATGTCCAATGGTATTCAAGCTCCTGCAAAGGAATCTGAAGATGGTTCTACGTTGAGCAATATAAGCAACCTTTCCTCTACATCATCGTTAACATTAAATTCACCATTGATGAAGTTATCCTCATATTTTTTGGCTCTCAGACCTTGGTCTCTAAGTGCTTCATTAGTGCCAACGTTACTTGGATCTGCGCTTGCATACCGTTTAATAGGTCTAACAAATTTTAGTTGGATATCATTAATTTTAACATTATGTACAGTCATATCTGTACATGGAGCTGGTAATGTAGTAAATACTTATTTTGACTATATAAAGGGTGTGGATAGTCGAAAAAGTGACGACAGAATATTAGTAGATCATCTTCTGTCTAAAGATGAATTAGTTTCGTTGGGAGCGCTGTTATATGCAGTCGGATGTATAGGTTTTGTTTTGTTAACAACAATATCTCCTGCAAAAATGGAACACCTTGCTTTAGTATACTTTGGGGGCTTATCTTCGTCATTTCTTTATACAGGTGGTATAGGTTTAAAATATATTGCATTAGGCGATGTACTTATATTAGTAATATTTGGTCCTATATCAGTTTTATTCGCATTCATGGCTCAAACAGGCTATGTCGAATTAGGTACTATATATTATGCAATACCACTTGCATTAAATACTGAAGCTATTTTACATAGTAATAATACACGTGATTTAGAAAGTGACAAAAAAGCAGGAATTGTAACGTTAGCTATTTTAATAGGATACACAGCTTCACACGTTTTATACGCATTTTTATTATTTACTCCTTACATAACTCTAGTAGTACTTGCATTAAGATACTCCGTTTGGTTCCTATTGCCAATTATTACATTACCAACTGCATTCAAAATAGAGAAACAATTTCGAAGTCCTCATATGATTCAAAATGTGCCTAAACAAACAGCTCGGTTAAACATATTTCTTGGAATTTTATACGTTCTTGCTTGCTTGCTTGTAAATCCTCTCCCTTATGTATAATATATTATTGTATATAAATGACGTAAAGCAATATTTCTTACAGAAGTCGAAATCTTAAGTTAAAATAAACGAATATGTATATAAACCAACAACCGTTATATGATATTGTTATTAACGGTTCGTCGGTCGGCACTTTTTTTACTTTTTTCTTTTATGATTTCACAGAAGTCATCAGTCATATTGAGTAAAATTGAGAATAGCATATAACAGTAATTATTTTAGTAGATTATACATATGTAACTTAATATAATATCAAGAACGTTAATAGAAAAGAGTTATTTATAAAGGAAGTTATTCGAATAAATTGATTGTTATTAATTAGTTTTTATAATCCTATAATTAACTTAGAAAAATGATTATTTAATCATACATTACACTAATCCTAGATATAATTTATACAATGAATTTAATATAGAATACAAACTTAGCTAGATCTATAAAAAATACGTTAAATAATATGTAAATTCAATTAAATTATTTTCTTCTTTATAAATAATCTGATTAATTTTGCAAAAAGTACATAAGATAAATTATTAACTAATATTTATTACCCAAACACTTTGTAGGATAAAGATCATTTGTGTATATAGTATATTAAAATTGTATGATCATATTATTCTAAAAGTATAATATAGTTCTTTATATGTATAAATGATGTGCTTCTACTAATGAATTTCATTACAAAATGATTAGTATTAATGTGCTGTATATATAATTTAAATTGTATTCTCTAATTAATCTATTTATATTTGAATAACATGTAAATGTAAATTATCTCACTTATTACAATGAAATATCATTGACAGCAACCAAAAAAAAGGACGTATATATAACAAAATTTATAATATATATATATATATATATATAAAAATATATTGTAACGCTAAATTATAAAGTACTTATATCTTGTAACATCCCTTATGCAGTAACAATGAAAAGAATGACAATAAATATACATATTGCATTACTTGCGTCGTAATAACAATCTGATCTTTTAATACAAAAATAAGAATAATAAATTAATTTTATTTTCTAATGAGAAAGAGGTAATGTATATTATATCTCAATATTAACAAATAAAGAATTTTAACAAAAATTTGTTTTAATCTAGTACGATATCTTTCGTTTATCTTATTAAAATTCTATCATTAATATTAATCGAGTCTCTAGTACCTATAAATAAGTATTTATAGTAATTATTAAGTAAGTATTTCATAAGATTTAATTATTTTCAATGTTATCTACACCTTTTTTATTAACAACAAATTAAGTTCCATTAAAAAAAAATGTTAAAACGCCTTAAAATATTGGAAAAGGTATGCGCGTAACACGAATACTTATAAAAAAAAAAGAAAAATTTGATATAAAATGCAAAAAGTAATACACAATAATCATTAAGTAATCTAAAGAAAATATTTTTTACGCGTAAGTTGTACAGTTGAAATAATTATCTACAAATTATAGATTGATAAGAAATTTAAATGTTTCATTATTTTTCAACATGATATCAAATTTATTTCCAAATTTGTATATGCTTTAGAATCAATCAATCAATTAATTAATTAATCAATTAATTAATTAATCAATTAATTAATTAATCAATTAATTAATTAATCAATCAATCAATCAAATCACAGGCATAAGTTTTACAGTGTATATATTTATGTATTTTACAATACGATTATATTATTTTAAGAATGAATGTGTAAACTAATAATATATTTTAATAACATGATATAGCGCGCACGTACAGTTTTATTTCCTACTACTTTTTTGAGAAGAAATTCAATAATTAGAAATATTATGAATATCTATAACTAACATCTCTTTCTCTCTCTCCCTCTTTCTCTTTCTCTCTCTCTCTATATATATATGTATATATATATTATGTAAATACAGTGTGCGTAATGTGATAAATTTTCACTTATGTACTACACATGACTAGTTCGGAAAAACTACTAATGTAAGTTTTAATAATTCAGGCTAAATATGCAACTATTTTCTTACAGACAAAAGAAAGTGTTGTATCATTTAACATCTTCCTGAACAATACAAGTAAGTAATTCTATGAAATACTTAACACAGTTTTAATATGCATTATTTATATGTTAACTCGATAATATTTCTATTAAATAAATAATTTACACATTAGAAACATTGTGAAATATTGTGAAATATTTTTTTCTCTTTTTCTTCTTTCTTTCTTTCTATAATATGTTAGAAATATTTTGCTAGTCATGCAACGAGATACAGACAAGATGAAAAGTTTCAAACAAATAAGTTGTAAGAGGTATATATATATATATATACACAGGGTGCGGCAAATAAAATAAATTTTCTTACATTACAGAAAATATTCGAAATTGAAACCATTTGTGTCAATGGTACTATGACAATAGGACATATCAACGGACAATAAAACGTGTATGTGTCTTTTAGCGATACCGAGATTATAATTTTGCATTTACACAAATCGTCATAATTTCGAACATCTTCTATAATGTAAGAAAGTTTATTTGACTACCATATATATTTGACCTTAAATTACTTTTACTAATATCTTGATGTGAAATTGTCTTAACATCGGCTATCTCATTTTAAAAAATGAAGATGACCTAGAAATCTCCTCTACAAATAACAGAGATATTCAAAATGGACAGAATTATTGCCTCACCCTGTATACATAATTCTAATTTTTATATGATTTTATATAATGATGCAAACAGCAATATTATTAATTGTATCATTGCGCATAAATTATTTGATTATCAAAATCAAATATTATACATGTAATCGTGTTATGTTGAATTTTTGACAATAGATCACTATTTTAATTATAACCGAATTTTATACTACATATTTTCTAAATAAAGATATATCATGTTTTAAATAATTATTCCACAATCAATATGTAAATACTAACTTAGTTCATGCTTATATATATCCAGTTTTCTTTTAAATATTATATATCGCTCTAATTATACTACAATTAAGCCGGTAAATCTGGAATGTTGCAAAATATAGGATTCACAAAATTGCTATTTCTGATAGAATATTATGAAATACAGACTAGAAAATTCAATATACTTAAATTCTAGGAAAGTTTAAATGATAAAAACTGCTGTTATATTATTCATTATTTTTATCAGGCATCATTTTGCGAACTATTCATAAATTTGTTTAAAATTTATATACTTTTATTATAACTCGTAATATAAACTTTGGAAAGCACTTATAACATCGGAGAACTGTATCATTCAATGAAAAGAAGAAAAGTATATAATTTTAATACCATTGGAATTTTAATATTTTCATTTATCGAAATATTATCAAATATTAGAATACGATAGAGCGAGAAGCGATAATAGCACTTGGTGGGGATACTTTCCAATTTTGGAGCTTTGAGTTTAATCGTTATACACATTTGCATGTATTAAAGGTATTCTTTTAAAACGTAAAACATCCATAACTTCGTATAGATAACCACGAATACGTAACATTACTGTTCGTTTTTTAAAAATCTTAAAAAAGATCAGCTGCCAAAGAAATACATGCTTCTTACGACATCTTTTATATTATATTATTATTATATCATATTAATTATATCTAACAGAAATGCAATATTTTTACCGTTAATTAATAACTATACTTCATTTCAAGATTACACTATACAATGTATAGATATCTCAATTAGAAAATATATTAGAAATAACTAGACGTATGAAAAAAGAAAACATGGACGAACAGAGAGAATGTTTCTACCACGCACTATTAATAATATTTGCTACACAAAGAGACAAGATTATACTTCTACTTATGTACATATTGATACATATTTGATAGCTTTTCGTAGAAAAACAAAATTAAAAAAGAAAATAAATTTCTCTTACAAAATTTGGAATATTTAAACACGTTGTTTTAACGAAGCTTTCAGCTGCGATTTGAAAAAGTTTTCAATTATCTTCATTATACTATAAGATTCAATATATTAGACTATTGTTTATAATTTGTAAATTTAAACTACATCACATTGCTTTATTCGATTCCAAAGGTATTGGTTTCCTCCACCGCTAATAATAATTTTTCATATAAAATTTCCGGTGTAGGATATGGTGGAAGATCCAAACGATTAAAGCAAGTATGAGCTCTGGAAATAAGAAATATTGAATTAAATTTATCGTTGAAACATATATTTTTAACTGTAATAAAATCTGACCATTATTTTGTATATTATAATAGATTAATTTATATATATATCATGAAATAATAGAAAAAGGAAAAAAAAAATACCTGGGTAAACTGTTTGGTCTTCCCCACTTTTCAATACAAAATTTTCTTGGTCCAGTAGATCCACGTAAGGCTGCAAATCCTTCGTATGGAATGCTCGAAGTTCCAGTTACAAATTGTAATAATCGAAGTCGTTGTTCGTTCGAGAAACGGCTTATACTACTCCAAAACCATTCTACCACAGGATGTGCATCGTGATAACCGCTTCTATATTCCGTATGCATTCTCCAATCGTTAAGATCAATTTCAGCAGCACCTGCTATTACTAATTCTAATTCGCGTGCATCAAAGACCGATACCAATCGAGGATCTACCACTTCGTAGAAGCCCCGGACAAGTGATTCTATTTGTTCAGCGACGCCACGTTCTAATCGCCAACGTACAACTCTTTCAAGATATTCTTTTTTATTTTTTTCTGTAACAGCGATATTTCTTCCACCTGGCTTTAACTCACGTTCAGCTACACGACCCAAAAGTTCTTCAGTTACAGAGAAAGTTAATTCCAACGGTTCTATGCTTATATCCCTTTCTTTAATCCACATTAAACTTTGATGGAACTCTTGATCCAAACTTTCTAAATCGCTTAGGCTAGCTGGTATTCTCAAAAGTGCCTTGTAAAACGGCCTTGTAAAAAACGCATCCAATAAATATTGATGAACTAATGCCAAACCTAAAACTCTACCTGAAAATCTAAACCAATCGTGATAGTTATCAACAAATGCTGACATAGGAGATACTTGAACGGTGTATGTATCGTTCGCCGAATATTCGAATAATCCGTAATAAGGATTAAAAAGTTCACGTGATAGATGAAAGAAAAATTCACGAGATGGACCGCCATAATCCAAACCTTCTTCGTGATCGAAAATAACAACTAATTTGCCCTTTTGCAAATCTTTCTTAGTAGCAGCCATTATACGTGTAAAAGCATCTTCCAGCAAATGTTCTCTCCTAATATGCAACCTAAACAAACAAAAATTAATTATAATACATTATTAAAATATTATTTTCTAAAATAAACTTAAATAATTTACTTAAGTTTTCCTGGTCCTTGTCCATATCCTTTGCTTTCTAATTTTCTATAAAAGTTTCTAAGTTTAGCTTCAAAATCTCTTCTATATGGAGCTGGTGCTCTGGCCGAAGCTCTTGTTAGACCTGGTGATGCATGTGGACTACCAATTGGGGATCTTCCAACATTTCCAGGTACGTATGACATAATTTCTTGCTCGAACAAACTGAAAATAATATTCGTATTAATATAAAAAATTCTGAATAATAAATGCAAATTTGAAATATTGTTTCTCGGTACCTTAACAATAATGCTAAAGGTACATCATGTCCCAGTCGTTGTAAAGCTGTGGTACCTTCTACTCTAATGGTATTAACTTTTTCACGTAATGCTATATTTTGTCCTAATGCTGAATGCCTTTCCTTTAGAATATCCATTATATTTGGTTGTCTTAAAAAGGCCACGACTTTGTCATTGTAAGCTACAGGTATATCTGGCGTTGTCGTAATAGCAGATTGTTGTGGTCTGGGTGGTGGTGTAGGTGCCTCATCCAGTAACATTCTTGGATGTGCAGCTTCAGTTGGTAATCTTGGATCAATAAATGACGTAGCTTTCCTTGCATGACAAATGAAAAATCTCTGAAATTAAATGATTTCTTTATATTTATATATTATTAATATTATCTATATAATATTTGAGATATTTGAAAGATATAATTTAACTGTTCTTGCTGTAATGGTAAATCGTAAAGTAATCTTTAATTATTTGTTACAAAATTTAAAAAAAATAAGAAAAATAATATGTATACACTTAACGTACTTTGCCCGTTCTGTCGAGTTTCGATTCGTACCCTCTTGGGAGTTCTTTTGTTGGATCAGCAAAAAAGTTAATTAAAGTAACTAAATCTCTGTTATGTTCATATCTTGGAAATATAGCGGAATCTCTTCTAATTCTACTAATCATATGCTTTAAACTTGGATTACGGTTGTATAATTCCATAGCTTCGACATTAGTATGAAGGACATTGAAAAAATCAGGTCTTGTTAAAAATAGCACCGGTGGTATTGTTGTAATATCAAAATTCTCAGAATCTGTTCTCTCAGTAGATCTGTCATTTTGTCTTTCGATATTTTCGCTATGATTTCCATTTGTACTGGGATTACAAGGCTCACGATCAATGTTATCAGGCCGAGAAATAGTACGTCTAACACTCTGATAACGCCTATCAAGTTGTTGTCTTCGAAGATCACAACCCGTATTACGAGTAGCTAATGTAGGTCTTTGCCATGTTGTAGTATGATTAATATGATCTATATAGAATACTCTACCATGACTATCTATTCGTGCTTCCCATGCTTAAATAAGAATATGGAATAATTAAACAATTGCATGTAATTAGCATTAGAATGTTTACAATATACATTAAATATATTTGATTAATATCATATTCGAATTTTCTTACAAGGTGGTAACGGTTCTTCTGAAGATAATGATATATTTGACGTTTGACACATTGGTAATGGTCGTAAAGGTTTTGGACGGTGGGTTGGTGTTGGAGGACACTCTGATGAATTAGACGATCCTCCTGTTTCTGGTCTTGTCAATGATCTATGAGTTCTTGGTGAACTTAACAATGCTATACTTGTGGTTACTGCTGTTCTTGTCTAGAAAGAATTATTTTACAATATAAGAAGCAGTCTGTGAATTTGTGTAATGAGTTAAATTGTATAATATCACTTGCAAAAGAAACAATATTTAATAATGATTAGAAACATCATAATTGTGTAAACATACGCATTAATAATAGTGAAGAGAGACGATATAAATAAAAATATATTCAATTGTAATAACCAACAAACAAAACGTATAAAATATTTAGATTTTAAAATATGTAAAAAAGTGTGTGTAATAATAAAAAGTTTATAAAATTAAATTTTACCTTTAAATTAGATGCTTCGTCAACATCTACAATCTCAAATCCAAAACAGTCTGAAGGGTGCAAAGGCGCGGGGTATTTAGAAAGATGCCTTTTTGGTAATTCTGGTAGCAATGCATTCCTTTTGTGCAAGAATTTGTTCACTGTTCTTGGTGGAAGGGGTGGGGGATTTGGATAGAGCGTTTCATATAAAGACTCAGGGGGTGAAAGTCCGGCAGTGCTACGCCACAGCTGATAATATTCTACCCCTTCTTTAGTTATTATACCATTAGTTTCGGTTAATTTCTAAAATAGAACACACATGCTTCTAATTTATCTATGTAAATAGCAAATCCAAGTTTTGTTTTTGTAAAAGATAAAACATAGATTAGAGTTTGATATATTTCATAGGTGGAGTAAAAATATCAACATTAAATATCATAATTACAAAAAAGACAATAATAGTAACAAATTTATATAGCATGCCATTTATTTAAAATTTAATATTTAAAAATATCATAGTTGTATTTTCAACATAAGAATTTATTACTAAGTTTAATTCTTAGGGATGGTATTTTTTGGACAGGTTTAAATTAAATGAACAATCTCTTTATCCGTTGAACGTTTCGTCCCTATATTTGGGACTTCCTCAGCAACTCGATAGTTATG